GTAAGACTTTAATTTTTTTAAGTTACAAATTATGCTTGAAAAAAGAGTAAAAATAAAAATAAAGAGTTTAAATTCGATTTAAGTTATTTTGGTTTGTGTATAAAGTTTGAAATAATAAACTTTGATTACAATAACCACTTCACAATATACTTCTCAGATCAAGTTATTTTATGAAAAATACTAGTTGTCAGGCCTCGTAATATCATGGTCTAAACGCTCGCAAATTTATTGATAATTAATATGCAAAAACATTATGACTGTAAACTGTTATCCATTAATACAAAATAGTGAATTTTTCTCAATTTAGTTCTTTACTTATAAAAAAACTATTTGGAAAAAAAATTGCTGAAGTTATGCATTCGTTTTTATAAATTTTAAGCGAACACCAATGTTTGCTCAAGTAAAAGTAAGGAAACGTGACATTCGTTTTTCTGTCTTTTTTTTTAATAAACGTTTGCACGTTCGTTGATTTGTGCGCCCTGATTTTCAGTGGCATTTCCAAGTAGTGTTTTATACATGGCATGTATTTTGTTTTCTAATTTATGAGACAAAGGTGATGAAAAGCATCTTTTTTTAGCAAACTTAAGACAGTTCTTTAGTTTCCAATATTTTGGTCTGAAAGTCTCCTAGTTCTTACCATTTTTAAGGAGGCTGTGCGATTTGGGCTTAAAATGATAATTGCATGCAACTACTTTGAGCTTGTCAGAATAATTAAGATGTTTTTTGCTTCACTGGTTTTAAATATTTTTGTGTTCTTGACAAACTTTTTCACTTCTGATTTGAAATCAAGTGCTAACCAGTCTTGCTCATAAACCATGAATTTTTTATGTCGACTAAGTATGTTTATGTATTTATTAGGCTCTAAAACTTGAGCTCATTTCTTTCAACTTAAAATCAACCAAACACACTATCTGCTGGCAGATATGAGTACCCATGTTCTTGAAATGCATGTGTAATATGCAGTTTCTTAAAACCATGCTTTTTTAGAGCAAGAAGCATAGATGCCCTATTTATGTTTTAGTTTTGCTTAGCATAAATCAGAAAACAGCTGGCATAATGAAACCATAGAACATTTATCCATTAGATCATTTTTAATAGATGTTATACAGGTGAACAGATCATTTTTAAATCTTTCCCATTTTCACACTCCAGCCACATAAAAAAAAACATATCATTAACAAACTAAGAATTCTTACCCCTCTTGATAACAATACCTAGAACATAAAAATAAAGCTGTCAAGAATATTAGGCTTCTCCTATTATGGCTAAATAATATAAACAAAATATCTACTTCTGTCATCAAAACATTTTTTCAACAAATATACATGCATAAATTTTGCTTTTTTTTCTGAATTAAAAGTAAATTACTTGTATATGTACACAACAAGACAACAATTCTTCATACTCAAGCTTGAAGAAGTTCATATTCTTCAATGCGCTCAATGCTCATTGTTCTTAGTTTTTTTCGCTTATTATTTTTTACTCTGGCTATTTTAGTACTGACTATATTAGGAAAGTATATATTATATATGTTCAGTATATATGTAATATATACTGAACATATATTGAAGCATCATGGACACATTGTTGGTATTACTATAGAATTCTGAATAAACTTATGAATTACTTTTTTTTATTTTAATTTAAATAAAAATACTATCTGAATTATACTTACTATACTTATGAATTATTAAATTATGAATTTAAAGATTATGGTATAATTTATGACAACATAATCAAAGCTGAATAAAATCTTATAAATTCACCTTGCAAAAATCTGCAATGTGTTTAAATGATATAAAAGAAATTTTTCCTTCACTTGATTGTTGAAATAAATTTTCTTTGTTTTTTTTTGTATTGCTTTTTTCTTTTTTTGCAAATTTAAAGCTAAAACAACACTTTCCTCCAAACAGTTGTAATATGCCATCTTTAAGTATTACTTTGACATGTTTATTGCACTTGCACAAAGTTATCTATATTAGAATTATTCAAAAAAAATTTGGTCAGATTTGTCCAAAAAAAACTATTTTTTTAAAATAAATTATAAAAATTGTTACAGTGTTTTGAAAATAAAATTGTATTTAGGCTAAAATAAATAAAAATATAGTTTTTGAGTTACAAACATGAGTCTACTTTTATTAAAGCAATCCCAAAGTGCCAAGGCAAGACATTTGTTCATATTGAAGAAAATAATAAAAAAATAATATGCTTGGGCTGAATTTTTTTGAGTAAAACAAAATAATAAACGTATACCAAGAAAAGCGTATATAAAAAAAAACTTTTTTGTTTTACTTGAAGCTCGTCGTCTCCATGTTAGCCAGTTGCTTTAAGTCTTTATAATATATGCCACAATCTGCAGACTTTATAATTTAATCAAACGTGCTTAATTCCAAAGAGTTTTAGTAAATAACTTCACTGTAGGAATTTTTTTTTTTTAATTTTTTTTTTTTTTTTTTTTTGAATTAATATTATTTGTTTTTGTTTTATTTTTTTTTTAAAATAAATGTTTATCATCAATTGTATGACTTTCCTATAAATTTTATAGGAAGCCAAACATAAGAATGTTTTTTTATAGGAAGCTAAACATAAGAATGTTTTTTTATAGGAAGCTAAACATAAGAATGTTTTTTTATAGGAAGCTAAACATAAGAATGTTTTTTTATAGGAAGCTAAACATAAGAATGTTTTTTTATAGAGCACAAGAACCAAATAAAGATTTTTACTCTCTTATCTTTATATCTCTTAATTATCATAAATAAATAAAAAAGACATTTTAAAAAAGACCATATATATTCTAAATTTTTTTCTTTCTTTGTAAGCAATGTGAACTTTTTTTCTAGTTTAAGTCTATCTAAGCTGTTATCGCTATGGCAATTAGGGTGGAGCGATTTTCATAGCAAAAAAAAAAAAGTTTAAAAATCAATATTCCTGAGACACAAATCGATGTCTATTAATTATAAGATGAAAGTAAAGAAATATTTTTTGATTTTGATGAGATCTTGAGGTTCCTCTTTGGATTCTAAATTCTTGATGGGTCCTAATATTTTTAATTTTTTTTTTTTGAAACCATATCAACCTCGGACTTAAAAAAAGCAGAAAAAAATCCTTGTTTTATAAATAATAATTTTATTTAAAAAAAAAAATTAGCAAAAATATACCTTAAAACCCCTGTTTTTTATGAAAAAAACAACACTACTTTTTTATTTTTTAGTTTAGAATTAAAACAAATATTATTTTCAAAATTAGCATATTATTCTGCTTCTTTTGAATACCAAGTTGATATAGTTTAGAAGAAAAAAATTTCAGCAATATTAGGACTCGTCATAAGCTTAGAATCAAAAGAGGAACCTCAAGAACTCATCTAAATTAAAAAAAAAAAAGTAAGGTTCTTTTTTCACCATAAGACATCGATTCGCAGCTCAGGCAAATCAAATTTCGAAAATTTTTAAAATCGCTCCACCCTAATGGCGATTTTGTTCTTCCCTTAAAATGACATTTTACAAATTCTTAAATTTTTAATTAATAAACAATTTTGGTGAACAACATCATTTATTAGAGATTTATATTTATAGATTTTATAATTAACAAATTTACACACAGCTTTATATTAATTAAAGCAGTAATGTTTTGAGGCAATAATTCAAGGCAGATGGCAATTAAAATTGTCAATGTGTTGCAGCGCGCATTAAAAAAACATTATATTTAATGTTTCCCAATTTATATGTTGTATTTGAAAAGTATTTTACATTAAAACCAGTCTCTTAGCACTACAAATCAAAAAGCTAACAAAATTGACAATAAAAAGTTTTTCATTAAAAGATTTCAATTTTAAAAGTGACTCGATAATGCTACACTTTTTGCAATCTTGACCAATAATTGTTCAATTTTAAAAATAAAATAAAATAAAATAAGCAATACATGTTTTACAGAATAAATTTAATTAAATATATTCTCGCATAATTTAATAAGAATTTCAGGAATATTTATATATATATTGTGCCCAATAAAATTTATATTTGTACCCAATAAAAAGTTTAGCAAATTGTCCCCTCAGTATTATCTTGTTCTATCTACAAATTGAATAAATAAAATGTTTCATCTAATATATAAAATAAATACTATATATATATATATATATATATATATATATATACATATATATATATATATATATATATATATATATATATATATATATATATATATATATATATATATATATATATATATATATATATATATATATACAATGTTCAACCTGATATAGTATATTATATTATATTACATAAAACATTGTATTTATTTATGAATAATTTTTTTTTGTATTTATTTTATATATTAGATAGAACATTTTATTTATTACATTTGTAGATAGAACAAGATAATACTAAGGGGATCAAATAAATGCTGTTAATTAAGTTTTTTTAAGGTTAAATAATATAAAATAATTTTTTTCACCAGAATATTAATAAAGGTTACAATCATTTAATAACAATGAATATAACACAAAAATAATTTATAACAATATACAAGTTTAAAATATCTGAAGTATTTTGTACACATTTTTAATGGAAACTTGGCAAAATTTAGAAAATATAATAACTAAAAAAATTCTATAAAAATTTATGATGAAAAAAAAAAACTTTTATATAATAATAGCTAAACAAATTTATTAGTAATCTATAAATTTAGTAAAATTGGGCAGCTCATGCGATTTTTTAAAAAATTACAGCGTTTTAAAAATAAGTTCTTCATATATATATATATATATATATATATATATATATATATATATATATATATATATATATATATATATATATATATATATATATATATATATATATATATATATATATATATATATATATATTTAGCATACAGAAATCGAAGATGACCAGTCAATTTGATCGGTTAACACATGGAATTGACAGATAATTGTTTTTTCTTGACGCTTAAAGTTTTGAGCGTCACAAAATTGAAAATTTGTGTTTGCATTG